TGGGACAAAATGGCTACAGCTATGCTAGGGGTGGGGATAAGGTGGATAGGCCTCAACACCTATGTATATCAGGTTAGCTTCAAATTCAGAGATCCACTTGCCTCTACCTCCCAGTGCTAGGATCAAAGGTGTGTGCTACCACTCCCAGCCTATAAGATTTAACATGTTTTATATGTATGTGTGTGTATAGACCATGTGTATGCAGGTTCTATTGGGTATTAGAAAAGGGCATGTAGACCTGCTGGTGGAGGCCAGAGAGGGCTGTCAGACCCAGAGCTGGAGTTCTAGGCTGTTGTGAGTCACCTTGTATGCGTGCTGGGAACTGAACAGGGTTCGCTGGAAGAGCAGAAAGTGCTGTTGACCACCAATCCATCTCTGCGGTCCATATTTTATTATATTCATTTCTGAGATCTAGAGAGAGGGGAGGAGGGACAAAAGGGAGAGGGAGAGAGTCATTTCAGATGCATGCTCAGAAGCTAGAAGACAACTGGAGGGAGTCAGTTTTCTCCTTCCACCTTGTGGGACCAGAGGGTTGAACCCAGGTCATCAGACTTGACAGCAAGCACCTTTGCCAACTGAGCCATCTCGCTCACCACTGTTCTTCCCTGAGATTTTGAAGAGGTTCTCCTGCTTCCTTTGCTGCTCTGTAGAACGGGTAAGGCGTCCTGTCTTCTTCTGCTGCTGGAAAGACTACCCCACAGTCCTATCGCATCATCATCTGACTCTCTTCTCATTTATTCTCTCTCTCTCTCTTTTTACTTTTGATTAAATCCTTCCTTTGAGCATTTCCTGAGCTTGTGACTGATGGTAGCAGTCAGTGCTTTAGGAGCTTAATCAGAACTCTATACATTCGTGCTAAAACGCTGAACTTTTGAAATCTTAGTATAACAATAGCATAGACAGAGAAAGAAATTGGAAACATAGGGGCTGGAGAGATGGCTCAGCAGTTAAGAGCACCGACCGCTCTTTTAGAGGTTCTGAGTTCAAATCCCAGCTACCACATGGTGGTCACAACCATCTGTGATGGGATTTGTTGCCCTCTTCTGATGTGTATGAAGACAGCAACTCATATACATAAAATAAATAAATAAAACTTTAAAAAAATAATTTGAGCTGGGCAGTAGTGGCATACGCCTTTAATCCTAGCACTTGTGTAGCCAGGGCTGCACAGAGAAACCATGTCTCGAAAAACCTAATAATAATAATAATGATAATAATGATAATAATAATAATAATAATAATAATAATTTGAGAATGAGACATCAGAAACATTCTTTTTTTGGTTACTGAATATTTTTTATTGAATATTTTATTTATTTACAATACAAATGTCATCCTCTTCCCCAATTTCCCCTCCCTAAAACCCCCTATCATATACCCCCTCTTCCTTTATGCTTTTATACCATTTTGATTACTTGCGTGTACTAAGGTCAGTTCTGGGTTGAGAGTCTAGCAATACAGTAGATGCAAATAGTCGAGGAACAAGCAAGACAACAAACACAAATAGTCAAAGAACAAGCAAGTCATTAAACCCAGTTATGTGAACACTCCTGTGATCACTGTTTCTAAAGGCTTATCAGGATGGCCAAAGTATCTGAGCCTACTTCCCTATCTTAGCCCAAGGTCATTTTCATATCTGAAGTCTACTTCCTTGTTCTAGCCTAAGATTTAGATTCTTGTCTGAAATTATTTCTTTGTTCGGGCCTAATAGGAAACATTCTTTTTGTTACTTTAAATCACTGTTTTGTTTTGTTTTGATTGAGACAGGGTTTCTCTGTGTAACAGAACTCCGGCTGCACTGGAATTCACTTTGTAGACCAGGCTGGCCTTGAACTAACAGAGATCTGCCTGCCTCTGCCTCCTGAGTGCAAGCATGGCTATGCCTGGTGAGATCACTTCCTTATACCTTTTCAACTTACATTTACATACCTTAAAACACTTTCTCAGACCCTAAGAAATTATTTAAGCATTCACATCCTCATACCTTTACACACCTTAGAACATTTTCTTAAACACTTAGAACTTACATAAACTTAAAGCCTTTTTTTTATTCAATCATTTACCACGAGACACAGGTAATTGATTATTACTGAAAGCACTCATTGCAAAGCAAGTTCGTAGAAAGTTACATCTCTGTGGTAGTTTGAATTGGACTGGCTCCCATAGACTCATGTGTTTGAGTGTTTGGCCCATAGGGAGTGGCACTATTAGCCTTGTTGGAGGAAGTGTGTCACTGTGGAGGCCAGCTCTGAAATCTTACATGCTCAAGCTAGGCCTAATGGGCAGTCTCCTTCTGCTGCCTGTGAATCAAGATGTAGAACTCTCAGCTTCTTCTTCAACACCACGTCTGCCTGAATACCGCCATGTTTCCTGCCATGACCATAATGGACTCTGAAACTGTAAGCCACCTCCAATGAAATGTTTTCCTAGTAAATGTTATTACATATTCATGAATCAAGAAAAGTTAACCTTCTGGTCATCTACTTTTCTCCTCTCCTCTCCTCTCCTCTCCTCTCCTCTCCTCTCCTCTCCTCTCCTCTCTTCTCTTGTCTTCTCCCCACCTATCCCATCTCCAAACAAGGATCTCCAAACACTATCTCCTTCCTGAGTTTTCGTCTTTAGAGTAGCACTGATAGAGGATGCTGTGCTTACCTTTTGGCCATGCCCACCTCTCAGCATTTCAAACCTCATTCCCTGGCCAATCCCGGGATAGTTCTCATCTCATCCTTGTATTGAGACCCTAGAAGAGTTACTATCTCATCCCACACCCATACATGAGGGCACACTATCACAACACCGACACCTGGTACACAGATGACAGCTTCTTCCTATATGAGGGGGTCTGAAAAGCAGGATACACCATAGTCTTGGGCACCAAGGTGGTTGAGGTGCAGGCCCTCTCAGCCAGAACCACAAACCAACAGGCTGAACTAATAGCCCTTACCCATGCCTTTCCACTAGATAAAGGGACAATCTCTAGAGCTCTACACAGACTCTGAGTATGCCTTTCATATCACTCTCTCACACACAGCCATATAGAAAGAGTGTGGACTACTAACAACAAAGGCAGAATAACCAACTGAGACCAAAGCATGGCCATACTAAAGGCCTCCCATCTTCCCACAGCCTTAGGAATTGCCTACTGCCAATCACTCCAAGTAGACAATTGCATTATTTCCAGGGAAAATAACTGAGCCAGTGAGGGTCTAAAGCTACAGCTCTTAGAGGCCTGAGTCCTCTCATAGGCCACAAGATTTGTCCTTCTTAAAGGCCATTATTGCCTCTTGCAAGATCTGTCAGGCTTCTAGCCCTAACTCTAGTTACCACAGCTCTTGCTTTTTACTCACCAGGGACTGACTGGCAACTCAATTTTGCCCACATGCCCACTGTCAGATGAATCCAATACCTCCTGGTCCTGGTAGACTTTTATTCAAGGTAGGTGGAAGCATTCCTTACCAACAAAAGGGATCAAAGAGTCTTGGATCTTCTCCTGTGAGAGATCATCGCTCGATCCAGAATTCCCAATCTCCCGTCAACCAGATAATGGCCCTGGAATTTACTTCTCAAATCTCTGAAACTTTATCTAAATCTACCAAGATCCCTGGACATCTTCATATCCCTTATCATCCGTAGTCCTTGGGAAAGGTCGGAAAACCAAATTGTTCCTGTTCCCTCAAAAACAGTTTTACTAAGTTTTCACAGAACTTCAGCTGGATTGGGTAAAACAACTTCTTCCTCCTCCTCCTCCTCTTCTTCCTCTTCTTCCTCCTCCTTCTTCTTCAAGATTTACTTATTTATTTTTATTTTTATGAATGCACTGCAGCGGTCTTCAGACACACCAGAAGAGGCATCAGATCCCATTACAGATGGTTGTGAGCCACATGTGGTTGCTTCGAATTGAACTCAGGACCTCTGGAAGAGCAGTCAGTGCTCTTAACCACTGAGCCATCTCTCCAGCCCTGGGTAAAACGTCTACCCTTAGCTTTCCTCAGGCTGAGGGCCGTCCCCAAACAGTCTCTCTCCATATCTCCACTTGGACTTATCTAGAGATGACTGAGCTAGTGTAGTGACCTTTAACCCTCTACCCCAAATGAAAAGGCCCTTTCCGAGTTATCCTTGCCACTGCTACTGAACTTGAAGGTGTCCTGCACGTTTTCACATCTTAAACCCTTTGCTCCCAATTTCAAAACAATGGGAAGACTCTTCATTTTACACTTTAACTCCCACAAGCCCTTGCTCTGTTAAGTTCCAGAAGACATGGAGACTACCTTTAATCTCAGAAAAATGAGGCCTTGCACAGTTGACCATACTTGACTGGACTGGGCATTGCTCCTTGCTTCTCTCTTCCGACCAACCTGTGTCTGGGGTAGCTCTTACATGGATTTTTGTTTGTTTGTTTGTTTGTTTGTTTTTCGAGACAGGGTTTCTCTATGTAGCCCTGGCTGTCCTGGAACTCACTCGGTAGACCAGGCTGGCCTCGAACTCAGAAATCCGCCTGCCTCTGCCTCCCAAGTGCTGGGATTCAAGGTATATGCCACCAGCGCCCGGCTTACATGGATGTTTAAAGTCTAAGAGACTCCCACTTCTAACCAACAGCCCATTCCAATAGGGTCAGGAAATTTCTCCATAGTACGCTGTTTTGTTGTTGTTGTTGTTTGAGACAGGGTTTCTCTGTGTAATAGCCCTGGCTGTCCTGGACTCGCTTTATAGACCAGGCTGGCCTAATACTCACAAAGATCCGCCTGCCTGCCTTTACCTCCCAAGTGCTGGAATTAAAGGCGTGAACCACCACACTTGGGTTTGTTTAGACTTTTTTTAAACAACAAATTCAAAGATTTCTAACCAGACTTTTTTTTTTTTTTTTTTTTTTTGTTTTTTAGAGACAGGGTTTCTCTGTGTAGCCCTGGCTGTCCTGGAACTCACTCTGTAGACCAGGCTGGCCTCGAACTCAGAAATCCGCCTGCCTCTGCCTCCCAAGTGCTGGGATTAAAGGCGTGCGCCACCAACGCCCGGCTTCTAACCAGACTTTTAATCACTTGTTTTTATAGGATTATCAGCTCCTAGCTACAGAACTAGAGGCTTTCGGCCCCCTAATTATGCCCTGACAGTGATGATTAGGCTTGACTCAAGGACTTTGATGCTGCCAAACAGCAAGAAATAGTCTAAGAATAAACAATGTCCCATCTCCTGACCGAGGAATTGGTTATCAGTAGTGGATCAAAACATGAGAAATGTAGGGTAACAGGCCAGTAAAAATCACCCTGTCCCTGTCCTGTCGCCACACTCGGGACTTGGAAATTCCCACTTCTATGACTCAGAATTAACAGCCAAGCAATACTTCCAGCGGTGCTGTGCTTCTCCACGAGTTCATCCAGCATGCTCTACTAACTCAATGCGCATGCTCCAAAAATCCTATAAAGTCTGTCCTCTCCACCCAGCTGGCTGTTTTTTCTGTTCCTTTTCTCCTCAGAAGCAGCCCCCATTCTGTGTTTCACCCCAATAATCCCTTGTGTGAGATGTGTTGTATGATGTGATTTTGTTATATTTCTTGACTCTCGATTGCCAAGATACCCTTGTGCTGGAAAACCCTTTGAGCCAGCAGGAGGTGCTTTCTTGTATACAAACACATAGAGGTGCAGGGTTAGTGTCTTATTAAACAAACTTTGTTGTAAAATCCTAGCTTTCATAAATCTTGGGTGGTTCTGTTTTTCGCTTCTCTCCTTGGGGTGTCCAGGAGCCAAGTTCTGTGATCCACTTCTTCCCTTGGAGTGTCTGGGCCCCATGCACGCTGGGCGGGAAAGAATGAATCAAAGTCTGGAATGGGTGGGTGAGCAGGATTCTGGTCTGGCAGTGAACACCTGATGGGGGAGAAGGTTTCCTCAGAAGATTTCAATGTTACAGCTCTTTTAGAAAACAGCTTTCTTAGACAACAGTCAACGAAACATCTTATGTGCATACACTTTTCTCAAGGGATACATTTATGTGTGTGTGTGTGCACCTTGGAGAGTGGAAAGGGGTTCTTCTTAGGGTGAAATTTCATTGTCTCAGGCTTAAGGTTCTGAGGATACCTCATTAGCATGGAGAGGCATTCCAGGAAGTTGAACTTGTAATTTTATCAAGGATTATGTAACATTCCTCTGGTAGAAAATTGGGGTCAGGCTCCCCAGATCAGTCAGAGAAAAGGAAACCTCATTAAAAAAAGGGAGTCCTCGCCAGGCGGTGGTGGTGCACGCCTTTAATCCCAGCACTTGGGAGGCAGAGGCAGGCAGATTTCTGAGTCCGAGAGTTCGAGGCTAGCCTGGTCTACAGAGTGAGTTCCAGGACAGCTAGGGCTACATAGAGAAACCCTGTCTCGAAAAACCAAACCAAACCAAAAAAAAAAAAAAAAAAAAAGGAAAGAAAAGGGAGTCCTCCATTTTGGGCCAAGGTCAGGAAAGCTATCTGACCATGGTAGACTTATAACATTAGTATCGAAGTCCAACACCTTGTTCTTACGACTTTGTTTTCAGGAATTATTATAAAAGAATCTATCCTAAGACAGATATCTTGGAGTCCCGCTGTTACCTCCTTGGTTGGTTTATATCATGTGGACACCTTTAATTGAGATGGCAGTGAAGTCACATGACATCCACCCTCTCCCTCCTTAGCAAAGATAGCTGATAGCTGTGTGGATGATTTTGCTGTGATGTGGGACAGCAGCTAAGATGCAGCAAGCCACATTTTGTTTATATCTCAAAATGGCATCACACCACATGGTTCCTTAAGATTTCCTACGTATAGATTTTTAACTAGCAACCACCTATGTTATAAGGTTATATAAGTTAACTTTTTGTTACAGATTTTATTGATTTAACCACACCCAATAAACTTACAAATCATAAGGTACAGAGAGTTATATTATAGTCTTACAAATCTTAGCAAAAGTTTCAGACAGTTAGATGAAACCAATAGTCCTTTTTGGATGTTCTGTTTTCCTTTCTTTTCCCTGTTACAGAGTCAGGTAGCCTGCCTGACGAAGGATATAGGAGGAACTTTTAAATAACCATGCTTGGGTCTAGAGAAGGGAGAGCCATAACTCAACTCTACAGCCAGCTTTCCAATAAAGTAGAACATCATAAACAACTTTAAGTTTTTGTTTTTGATTTTGTTTGTTTGTTTTTTTGAGATAGGGTTTCTTTGTGTAGCCCTGCTTGTCCTGGGACTCACTCTGTAGGGCAAGCTGGCCTTGAAATCACAGAGATCCACCTGCCTCTGCTAATGAGTGCTGGGTTTAAAGGTATATCACCAATACCTGGTAAAAGAACTTTAAAAGTATCCACACACAAAAGATTTTTGGATCCCTGCTAAACTGAATCCAATGGCCAGAAAGTTCAGAGATAAATTCTGAGCCGTGGCCATTAAAGCAGTCATGGCAGGTAGTGTTAGTAGTAGCAGCTGGCAGCTGACAGTGGTAGAGAGAAAAAGAATCAAAACCAGCAAACACAAAACACAGAAAGATCACACACTCAATGGAGACCAGTCATCAAGAAAACATGCAGTGACCACCATCATTCATTCATTCATTCAATTGAGCCTGACCCATAGCCTTCTCAGCTCCCATATTTGCAACAAAATTTATGAACACACCAGAAAACAGATTCATCTGCACACACAAAACAGAAAAACATTCCAAATGACCAGAAACAGGTAGATGGGGAACATCTTGCTTTTTGCCCCGGACAGGAGATTATTTGGGTCTTGTCAAAACCCTCCATGCTCCAGATCAGGATCCCACAGAGATCCAGATGTAACTTACCAGAGGAGGCCTCTGTGGATACTGGCTGCTTCTCTCAGCACTTCAGTTTACTCTGACAGTCGGCAACCCTGACAGCACGCTGTGGAGCCTTGCAATGTCTCTCGGTGTGCACCTCCTGAGATGGGCCTTTCCGCCCCAGCATCCCTGAGTAAAAGTCCAGTGTTAGAATTTAGGTGGGTGGTCTGGTCTCCCTGGGGCCTCCAGAAAATGTTAATTCTACCAGGTGAGACTAAGATCACTACCAGAACTTTTAGAGTCAAATTTGAAGCAAGCTTTATCAAATACTGGCCAGTACAATGGATATGGGTATTGGGGTTTGGTTCTAATACTTTGTCTTAATTTGGCTCCCCAAGTCACATGGGAATCTGCATGTTCAGATGCTGAGGGTCCCGGTCTCCAATTGGTTTTTGATTGATCAATAAAGAGACAATGGCCGATGGCTGGTCAGGGAGAAAGTGGTGGGACGTTTAGGATTCCCAGGCAAGAAACATTGGATAGAAGAAGGGGGATTCCACCATGAGAGGGGCATAGGACAGACCACACCATGATGGGGAAGCAGAGAGATGAGAATTAAGAGCCCACTGACATGTAAGAACCTGGGAAAGTGATTTGGAGGTTTCGATATGCCCAGCCATTGACTAACCATTGAGCTAGTCAAGGCATATCAAAATTAATGTGACCTCCCTCTCTTTTTTCTCTCTCTGTCTCTCTGTGTGTGTGTGTGTGCGTGTGTGTGTCTTTCATTGTCAAATCCAGACAACTCTGGTGGGTGGCTAGAAGCACAATCATCCTCTGGGAGGGAGTTCAAGTTGGATTAACCACTACACATGGGATTCTCAGAGAATGTCCCACAGAATACCTTTAATCCTAGCACTTAGAGAGACAGAGGCAGGCAGAGCTCTGTGAGTTCAAGGCCAGCCTGGTCTACATAGTGAATTACATTAGTCTGCTGCTTATAAAGGCAAAACCCACAAGGCTATGCACTTTCTGCCTTTATCCATTGGGGGCAAGCATACATCCTGATGTATCTTCCTCCTTATTTACCTCACACCTACAGTGATCAACTACATCCTGTGCAGCTGGAGCAACCAACCTTGTTTACAGAAGTGAAAACATGTAGCTGTGGCTTATTATTTCATGTGAACAACATTCCGGGAGGTTATCTATCCTTGGGCAAAGTAGGGCTTACAGGATATCCTTGGACAAGTGGGACTTACAGGTTAGAGGCATTTTTGTTTTATAAATCTTTTTTGTTTTTAGATTTATTTATTTATTTATTTATTTATTTATTTATTTATTTAATGTATGTGAGTACACCATTGCTCTCTCCAGAAACACCAGAAGAGGGCATCAGATCCCATTACAGATGATTGTGAGCAACTATATGGTTGTTAGGAATTGAACTCAGGACCTTTGGAAGAACATTCAGTTCTCTTAACCATGGAGCCATCTCTCTATCCCATTTTATAGATTTCTTAAGCATAGTAATTTAAACTTAAAACATAACTTTAGCCCTTAGAACACCTTTACTCCTAGCATTTAGAGAGGTAGAGGCGCCGGGCGGTGGTGGCGCACGCCTTAAATCCCAGCAGCTGGGAGGCAGAGGCAGGCGGATTTCTGAGTTTGAGGCCAGCCTGGTCTACAGAGTGAGTTCCAGGACAGCCAGAACTACACAGAGAAACCCTGTCTCGAAAAACCAAAAAAAAAAAAAAAAAAGAGAGAGAGAGAGAGAGAGAGGTAGAGACAGGCAGATCTCTGTGAGTTCAAGGCCAGCCTGGACTACCTAATGAGTTCTAGGAAAGCCAAAGCTACAGAGTGAAACCCTATCTCAGAAAATAAAACAAAACAACAAAACCTAAAATAACAAAAATGATAACAAAACCCTCAAACCTCTCTTTGAGTTAAGTAGGGTGTACTTATAATCCTAGCACTGTAGAGTCTGTAGCAGTAGAGTTATCTCTGGTTTCAGGACAGATCAGGCTATATAGCAAGACCTTTTAAAAGGATATCATTTAATGCTGTGAATGGGTGTTTTGTCCATGTATCGTGAATACATGTCTGTACCATATGAATGCCTATTGCCTGTGGAGGTGGCATCAGATCTCCTGGAACTGGAAATGCATTGTTATGAGCCACTATGTGTGTGTTGGGAACCCAACTTGGTTCCTTTGCTTGGTTCAATCACTGTTTTTAACCATATATATATATATATATATGTATATATATATATGAATACACTGTAGCTGTCTTCAGACACACCAGAAGAGGGCATCAGATCTCATTACAGATGGTTGTGAGCCACCATGTGGTTGCTGGGATTTGAACTCAGGACCTCTGGAAGTGCAGTCAGTGCTCTTAACCACTGAGCCATCTCTCCAGCCCCTTTTTTTGGTTTTTCGAGACAGGATTTCTCTTTATAGCCCTGGCTGTCCTGGAACTCACTCTGTAGACCAGGCTGGCCTCAAACCCAGAAATCCACCTGCCTCTGCCTCCCAAGTGCTGGGATTAAAGTCGTGCACAACCACTGCTGCTCGGCTTAACCTTTTTTTTTAAGCAAACAAGTGCAAAGGAACAAAGCTGGGGGAGATAGCTAAGTTGATTAAGTACTTGCCAAGTAAATGTGAAGACCTGAGTTTGGCTCATATCTGTAATCCCAGTGCTGGAGTGGGTTAGAAACAAGAAGTTCCTGGAGCTTGCTAGCCAGCCAGTCTAGTTTAATTGCTGAACTCCAGGTTTAGTAAGAGACTCTGCCTCAGAAAATAAAGTGAAGGGCCTGGGAAGATGACTTTGTGGTTAAGAGCACTGAGCATTCTAGAAGTAGATTCTATTCACAGCCCTGACATGATGGCTAAAAATGTCTATAACTCCAGTTCCAAAGGATCAATACCCTCTTCTGGCCTCTACAGGTACCAGGCACAGACATACGGTCAGGCAAATTACCCATTCACCCATTCATGAATACTGGGATTACTGCCCAGTTACCCATTTATTATATTATATACCCATTAAATAAAATAATAATAAAAAGTAGTGAAGAACAGCCAAGTAAGACACTTGAAAGTTGATCTCTGGCTTCCACATTCATGTTTATACACAACCTACCAAGCAAGCATGGTTGTGCATGGCAGGAATCCCAGTATTTGGGAGGTAGGGAGGGTTAGATAATCAGGGCTAGCTTTGGGTACATAGTGACTGGAAGTCAGCCTGAGTTATTAGAGACCTTGTTTTTTTTTGTGTGTGTGTGTGACACAAGATTTCTCTATGTAATCTTGGTTGTCCTGGAACTTGTTATGTAGACCAAGCTGGTCTCAAACACCATGTCCAGCCTGAGAGTGTATATGTACGTATTTACGTATTTTATATATTATGTATTTATTTATCCATCTATTTATTTATTTCAGAGAGGGTGTCTTAGGGTTTTACTGCTGTGAACAGACACCATTACCAAGGCAAGTCTTATAAATTACAACATTTAATTGGGGCTGGCTTACAGGTTCAGTCCATTATCATCAAGGCAGGAACATGGCAGCATCCAGGCAGGCATGATGGAGGAGGAGCTGAGAGTTCTACATCTTTATCTGAAAGCTGCTGCAGAATATTGACTTCCAGGCAGCAAGGGTGAGGGTCTTACAGCCCACACCAACAGTGACACACATACTCCAACAAGGTGATACTTCTAATAGTGCCACTCCCTGGGTTGAGCATATGCAAAGCATCACCTAGAGATTTCTCTGTGTAGCCCAGATGGTACTAGAACTCACTCTGTAGACCAGGCTGTTCTTGAACTCAGAGATCCATCTGTTTCTGACTCTTGAGTGGTGGGATTAAAGTCTTGCATCATTACTTCCAGGCTCCACACCCAGCTTTTTCCAGTGGGCATTTATGGCAGCAGCATTTATTGATCTTTTATTTATCACATATGTACAGTCCCCTCAGAGGCCAGAAAATGACACTGAATCCCCTTGAACTGAAGGAACCAAAGATTGTGAACCACCATATGGGTTTTGGGAATTGAACATCTGGAGAGCAGCCAGTGTTCTTGACGAGCTCTTTCTCTAGGTGTCTTTCTTTGACACCTAGAGAAATCCAAGTTAATCCAAGCACTTGGGAGGCAGAGGCAGGTGGATTTCTGAGTTCGAGGCTAGCCTGGTCTACAGAGTGAGTTCCAGGACAGCCAGGGCTACACAGAGAAACCCTGTCTCGAAACAAACAAACAAACAAACAAACAACAACGACAACAACAAAGAATTGAATTTAGGCTACAAACAACAACAACAACAACAACAAAGAATTGAATTTAGGCTACAATATCAGGTCATATCGCCAGGGCATATACACATGACACCAGGTGGCTAGGACCAGTAAGTCTCTCACACTGTAGACAATCTACCTCAGAACTCGGAGTCAGGTGTTTTAAGATCATTAGCTGGAAGATTCTGGAAGAGGTTGCAAATCAATAGTTACTTTGCTTGTTTTCTGTTAGAATTACGATGTGTAGATGTGTAGTTTTTGGGGCGAGTCACGCGTGTCTACATTTATTGCCCAGAGCTAGCAAGGCCCTGTGGAAACAAGTTTTAGTTTCTTTTATGGGTTGAGCTACTTCTGCCTGGAATTTTTGACCAGAATTCTATCGGAAGGTACAAAGCACGAGTCTTTGGGTCATAATACTTCTTTAATTGAAGCGCTACTTTTGCGTTTATTCTCTGGACTTAGGTAGAAGGGGTCTTCTGTAGCCGAAAAGCCAGCAGCCCTTTGCCTTAACGGGATAAGACGAAAAAGATCCTCTCCCATTTTCTGCACACGAACTGACAATCTCTTTCCAAAGGGGCAAGGCCAGGACCGTCCCCCAGCACCTGACAGGTAAATCTAGGATGTCAAAGCCACCTGGACACCTTGCACACTTGCGAGGAAAACACCAGAGAAGCAAAAACACCACCGAGGACAACCATAACTCCCATAACTCCCTGCGGAGAAGCGTACCTTCTCATTGGGCAGTGGTTAGCAGCGTGCCTTTCCATTGGGCAGCGGCTCCACCAGCTGTCAAAGCCGCTGCGCGCAGGGCACGGCGGGAGAGGAGGCCGCGGGATTTGCGGCCGTACTTCATCTCCCGGCGGGCCCAGCGCTGAAGGCGGTGGCGCGACGCCTTTGTGGAAGCCGGAGCTCACCGGGAGGAAGTTCCGGTCTCCGGGACGCTGGGTCCGTGGCGGCCACTGAGGAGGAGGAGCGGGCCGCGGGGCCTACGCTGCTTTGGTAAGGGCCCAAGATAGGAGAGAGGGCGTGTCCGAGCTGCTGGGACGGGGTCAGCGGTCCGGGCGGCTCTGGTAATCGTGGGCCCGCGCGGCCTAGGAGCCGTGACTTCGAAGACACGGGGCGGCTGCGGCCTCGCTCGCGAAGACAGCGTAGCGGTAGTGTGTTGAGGGAGGCGCCGCTCGTGGCAGGAACGCCCCGGAACGGTCGCGGGCCCGGGGCGGGGCCCGAGACGGCCGTAGAATTACCGGTCCCACCGCAGAGCGGCCAGCTGTGGGGCGAGGAACCTGCGCGTGGTAGCGGTTCCGGTGCTCAGTTCTGTGGACCTGCAGGAGGGATTTCTTTTTCTTTCTCCTTCTGTTTGCGATCTTGTTCTGAGACATCACTAGATACGGAGTTCTTGTGCCCTGCGAGTAACCTTGGCCGCCCACCCAGACGCCCAGACAAGAAGGTGCGAGAGCTCAGAACCTGGCCCACGGGCCCGTGGAACCGGGAGGCGGGCAAGGGTGACTGGTGGGTTCTGTACCCGTTGGGCGAATGTAGGAGGAGAGTGATGTTTCCACATATTCGTGCTTTAGATTCCTTTTGGCGTTGTAAATAATGTGCTTTTCTTTTAACTTTATAATTGACGTTGAGCTAATGAATTCAAGTGTGGGGTTGCGTTTCTTAATAAAAACAAAAGGGTTGATTTGTAGAGCACACACACTGGGGGTAGTTTGGATATTTCGTCTTTTTTCCCCCCACACTAGGCTAGCTTATTAAGTTCAGACTAATTGGATATAAGTGAAGGAGTTTAGTAGGTTTTGTTTTTGGTTTGGTTTTGTTTGTTTTTATCCACTTGATCACCCAGGTCATTTTCTGAACTCTGGATTGTGCCTTCTTAGCATTGTTAGTTTCCAACTTCCTGTTGATTAAATAAGCCACAGTTACCAAGCTTGTGAGGACCAAAGGGAAAAGTGTCAATAGCTAATGACAATGTGGAAAGTAACTAGCATTATATTACCATCTTGAGGAAACATACTAGTTGAGTCTAATGCCAGGCCTAGTGGAATTTAATTCTGGAATTTAGGAGGATGAGGCAGGAGGATGTTTGGTTTGAAGCCGTCCTAAGATGCAATGAGACACTTAAAAATTTTGACTCTGAATTTTAACTCCTTAACTAGTACACTTATATAAATGCTTATCTATAAAAGCTATAGGATTATATATAATGTATGTAGTCTGTAAGGTAGGATAGGTAGGACTCGGTTCTCAGCTGGTGTAACACCCTTGCTGTTTATTGAATCCAGGGCTTTCTTTATCTATGCTAGGCAAGTTCTCTACCACTCAGATACCAGCCTCCTTACGCAGTGTTCTTACTGGGCTTGAGCTTATCTTTATCTTTAGGATTCTAGGTTTTTGTAGCTCTTAACATTAAGGAAGAATTTTTGATGGGAGAATTATTGTCGTCGTTCCCCCTCCCACCACCCCTTTAATACATGGTCTCTCATAGCCAGGCTGAATTTGAATTAAACTTGCATTAAACTCCTAATCTTTCCACCTGTACTTTCTAAGCACTACAATTGGCTGTTGTCATTCCTAGCTAAGGGAAGGTTATTAAATATGCTCTAGGCTAAAGTCCTTTGCCACTAAACTATATACTCAGCTCTTAACTGTACTCTTGAAACAAGAGCCACCATGCATAGATGTCAATGACCTGGTTCAGGATCAGAGTTATATAGATAATAAAACTATTGAAAAGTTTTACTTAATTTATTTATTTGAGACAGGGTTTCACTGTTCATCCCTGGCGGGCCTGGAGCTGGCTATGAGGACCAGGTTGGTCACAACTTAGAGATCTGCCTGCCTATACCTCTAGAGTATTGACTTTAAAGGTGCATGCCTACAAGCCTGGTCTGAGTGTGTTTTATAACAATTCTGTCATGGTGTGTAACTCAATATAGTAGAGTTGATAACTGTAGAGTTTCAGAAATCAGATATTGAATCCATGTACCCTTCACGAACACCCTGTCGGTGTCTCATGCAGGAATGTTTTGGTGAGTTATATTATTTATTTATTGAGGTATTGGACTTTTTTTCCCCAATGGGTCACCATTTCAAACTTGTGACATTAGAAAAAGAACCCATAGCTATGTGAATTTTAGGTAATCGATCTCCCACGAAGCTATGTCCCCAGCCTAGATTTATTATGTAATATGTGTAATGCTCTTAGGATCGTGTCTGGTATACACAGAGTGTTCACTAAATATTAGCCACGGCTATTACTTTTTCATTTTCCTTTGAAATAATAATTTTGTGTATGTAGCTCAAGCTAGTATAAACTTATAGTTCTGTCTCAGTCTCTAAGGTCAGGACAAGTTGTGGGAGTTGGTTCTCTTATCCTACCATGGGGGTTGTGAGACTCAAACTCAGATTGTTAAGTCTGGCAGTTGGTACCTACTCAGCCATTTCACCAGCTCCCAC